TTGCTTTAATTACATCTTGAAGACGCCTCGGCATACTTTATATCAGTCGGGAAATGGCACTTTGCTGTACGTTAGCCCATTCTTCACGAAGAGTCCTTTCAAGATCGAAGAGTGTATAGGGAAGTGCTGGACATTCTTTTATACATCTTCTGAGGTCATCCTATAAATGCTCGACGGGGTTAAAGTCTGGAGAACGGGCTGGCCAGGGTAAGAACCTGCTGTTGAAGATACGTTTGCACTATGCGAGGCGTTTGCAGATGTGGACGGGCAGTATCGTGCATTAGAATAGGATTGTCGCTGATTTTATAGTGGATAAGCAACGCATGATGTTCCAAAATTTCATCCACATAGCGAGTGGCCGTAAAAGACACTCCACAAACAACAACCGACTTTGTGCGACTCTCCATTGAAATTCCCGCCCACATCATCATTGAGCTATGTTGAAAAGGATGACTCTGGGGAAAAATACAGACTTCGTAACTTTCATTTGACCTTCCCCACACCCTTTTACGCCCATCTGGAGATCTTAGAGCAAATCACTCATCTGTAAAAAGTACAGCAGACCAATCGTCCAAAGACAAATGGCTGTGTTTTCGAGCAAATGCCAGTCCTGCAACCCTGTGTGTTCTGGTCAATTTTGATCACCTTACGGGGCAAAAAGCCATCAGTCCATACTGATTCAATTTTCTTCGAGCAGTGCGTTCAGAAATTTGAACACCTCGAACTTCCTGGAGCTGATGAATCGCTTCAACAACAGAAAGCTCCCGAATTCCCAAAATTCTCAAAGTCAAAAAACTGTCATCCGGTGGTTCTGTTACCCTAGGGCGTCCAGAACCGGGCCTTCTATGGAAGGATCCAGTTTCTGGAAAACGCTTAACGTCGTCTCGCAGAGTTTCGTAGGGAACTCCGATGGCAACAGCTGCATAACTGATGGAACGTCCATCTTCAATAACAGCCACACCACGCGCAACATCCTCAGCACTACGTGGCATTTTAAGTTTAATTGAAATTTAAAAAAATAAAGATGAAAACTAAACAGTTTATTGCTTCAGAATTCAAATGAGACTGAATAAACATTTTAAATATCGTAAAAAGTAAACATTGAAAAATCATTTATTCTTGTGTTTACCTCTAATTGATATTGCCAATTTAAACCATAGCATAAACAAATATTTATTGATAAAAACAATGAGAAAAATTAAGGGCAGAATTTTCTTTTATCGAGAAAATGAAAAAAAATCAATTGGGTGGAATTTGTTGTCTGTCAGTGTAATATCGAAATCCATCAGAACCATCCAAATTAAAACGTTTTTCGTCACTAAAAATTACTTTCCCCCACCTCTTTTTCCATGAAACGTGTTCAGTGGCGAATCGCAGCCTATTTGCTTTTTGGGCCATTAAAAGAGGGATTTGGATTTGAGTTTCATCCGCTTTAAATGGCAGGCTATCTGTGCAATGTGTTGGACATTCGGACGTTCGTGCAGAATTGGAGGCTTGGCGTAGAAAAACGAACGTCCTCTAGTAGTTGTCCTGTACTATTCTTTCGTCCATAATCTTTGTCGAACCTAACGAAGTTTCTTAATGCGTGTCTACTTCTATTCACAGTTCGAGCAATGTTTGAAACTGTAAATTTTTTCTCAGCAATGTATTAATAACAACCTTCACACTCTCATAGCGCTTTCCATCTTGGCATTGTAAAAATTTAAAATAGATACTCTGATTGATAGCCGATGAAGGTTCTTCTCATTGTTGACGATGTCCTTCAGATTACTCTTTGCTTGGTGTTCATTTGTAGTAGAAATCTGTTCATAGAATCCCATGTTTTTTGTTCTTCTCGTGTAGAAATGTGTGGTGTGATCGTTAGTTAATGATTATCTGGAGATAGTGAGTTGCGGTCTGGTGTGACGTAGGTGTCAGAAAAACATTTTCCTTATCGTGCCAACGTTTCTATCTTTTTTATCTGAAGATGATCTCAATAAAGTTCGAAACGGTGGAACGATAAAGAAAATGTTTTTCTAAAGCTTACGTCACACTAGACCACTTCTCACGATCTCCAAATAATTATCAACTAACGGTCACTAAACACCACACATTTAAAATAAAACAATAGCGAATATATTTGTTAAGACGTAGATAAAGCACTCAACACTAAATTAAAGCCATTATATTTCGAGGTCCGATTGACCAAATAACTTCTTTCAATTAATCAATCTTTATGTAAGGTTTTGGTTGAAAAATGAATGAAAAAGTTAGGATTCGAACCCACGACCATCGGCTAAATACGCCGATGCTCTACCACTTGAGCTATTGTGACTTCAAACCACTCGGACACCAACTTCCCATCTCAACCACACCTTTCGAATTTTCTCACCTTTTTGCCATTTTTCAAATGTCGGTTCGAATCACTTTTTCATTTCAACCAACATAAAGATAAACTACATTAAAGATGATTTTAGCAAGAGACTTAGATAAAGACTGAGAGTGGCCTACTTTTGTCATTGATATTATAATATCAAATATTCCTAAACAAAGAACCAGATAGAATGAATGATGGATTATAACTTTACTTTTGTAATTAAGGTTTTTTATATGTTCTAGTTAAATTTTAATATTTCGTACAACTAATAACGAACAACTAACAACGCCTATAATTTTGTCGGGAAGTGTATAGAAGAGATTACAAACAGATAATTAAATACAGCGGCCAAGAAAAACCTTAATGAAAATAATAAATTGAAGCTAAAAAAATTAAGTTATCTCTTGCAGCTTAATTAACCAGATTTCAAGAGCCGCAAGGGACAAATTACGATGAAAATAACTAAATGTAGTAGACAAAACGCAGTTAAATTTTGTCTACAGACCGATATGTTTGGGCGACAGCTCGGGAACAGAACTACTTGAAAAGATAATGTCGAAACAGCACGGTCCATTAACCAGCTACTACAGAAGTGAAATACATTTCCTCCTTTCGCTTTTAACGATTTCCGGAATACTAAATTCGTTATCGAGCTCTTTCACGCTAAGGAAACGACGCCCTAAATGATTAATGTAAGACAGTTAATTATGATTGAAATGGGAAGTCATTGTGCACCTAAAGTAATTGTCTTTTATTGAAAATAGGGAGAATTTATGGCTTGTTTACAAACGGTGTGAATAATTAGACTTCGTAATTCGATTTAATTAGACGAAATTCACGTTCGTAATATTGCCGCAGTGACTTATTGCAATTTACGAGGAACTGAGGCAAACAGATATTCTATCAGGAATCATGTTTGAGAATAACCGTCAATCCCTTAACTTTTGTAATGAATATGGTCATTAGTGTGTGTGGTGGTTAGTGACCATAAGCCAATGATTATTTAGAGATCGTGAGGTGCAGTACAACTTGTCCACTTCGAATGGTCGGGCCCGCATTGTGCATCGGGTCGTATGCCGCACGCAAAGGGCTAACAGGCCGAAATACGTCAGCTTGTTCTCCCGCGTACTCCCTAGGTAGAGAAAGCGGCTCTATCTCCCAGAGTATTGAGGCTTCCCATAGCATAGAAACTACCGGATCCGCCCCGGCCGCGGTTTTGTTTTTAGTGGAATCGCACATTAAGGCAGAGGGGAGATGTTCCAATTCTCCCCCGGCGTCAGAATCGGGAACAGCCGAACACTCGAACTCAGATAACGTGAGTTACGCCTTTCGCTCCCTCAGGGAACCCAGGATTTCACAAGGTCACCCCAGACAGTTCTCCACCACCAAGCCATAACTACATTACAGTATTAATACGAGAGCGGTATGTACTCTCTTCCGTCTTTATCAACTCTCGGTGTGCGACCACAACCCTCAATCCCTCGCAGGAAAGCCATGACGGCCAGCCACTACTACCTCAAGAGCCACAGAACGCCCACTTGAGATTCAGTGCCTTGGGCCCGCACTGGAAGTATTTCTTTGCGGTTTCCATTTGCTTTCATTCTCCTCTGCAGCCAGACCTGTGATGAAGTTTTATGAATGGAAGAATCCCTTAATATTATTTCAGCTTGCTCGACATCATTCTTTAAGGGCTCTTCTGCGGTACCCCACTGAAAATCCTCCAAAAGGAAACTCCCCGTCGACTTACCACTCTGAGAGCTATTCCTCAGCAATCCGAACCAGGACCGCACATGGAGGAAAGGGGGAGAGGCCCGAATTCTCCCCCAACAGAACGAGAAATAGCCGAACAGTCGAACTCAGATAACGCCTTTCGCTGCCCCGCCTGAAATCGACTGCAAGAGCATACCTTTCTTCTGCGGCATTCCTAGTAAGATCCTCCAAAAGACGAACACCCGTCATAATACAAGCCAGTTTCGCAAACAACTGCCGAAGAACAATAGAAACCCTTCAGCGGCATCTCATAAGAGATCCTCCAAGGAACAACCGCTCCCGACAGCCGTGCATTTGCTACACCACCATCCGTCGATACGAGCAGGCTGCTTTTTACTCAGCCTCCTAGGAGACCCTCACAGTGGCGCCACAAGGCAAAAGTCCGCGGGAACGGGATAGGTTGTGTGTTGCACTTCACCGTTCCCCATCTTCCCGTCGCACGCTTTCAAGGGACGCCATAGGCTATGTGCGCTAACATACATATCTCATATTTTAAACTAGAATTGGCCAGAGAAGAAAGTTATTTTCTACGCCTATTATCTTGATTAGGCTTTTGATTAATTTAAAATCTTTGTTGTCCGATCCTTCCCCGTCTCCGAAGAGAACAGCGTCGGTCATACGCACGCCGGGGTGGATGGCCACCAGATCAAGTAGCAAAGGCATGAAGAAAAGAATGCAAATCTGGATAATACCGAACTTACAGCGTCGATGATGGCAAACACCAGACTCATTTTCTTCCCCGTTATTGACCGAAATTGTACTAATTTCACTATCTATATTATTAAGTGTAATGTAATTCATTACATTACGTGAATCTATATTGGTTAATTTAATTATATTTTGTATTAATACTAGCGTTTTTTACATGTTTCAGGGGGTCTTCTCCTGAAGGGCAACCCTTTGTCGTGCGATTGCAGCCTCGTTTGGGTGGGACACTGGCTGCGACGGTGGGTGCGAGAGTCGCTGGTTATCCACACAACCGACCCGGAAACGGGGCAGAAGCTGGTCCGTGCTGTTCGCGAAGCGACCTGCAAAGACAGATCAGGACGGGCGCTTCCGCTGCTCGAGCTTCACCCTGAACAGCTTTCCTGCCACGCCAGCGCCCTTTCAGCAGCTGCCCAACCGTTTTCCTCTTTTCCCTTTTGCCTGCCCCTCTTCCTCCTCCTCTTCCGGTGATGATAAGTTCTCAATAAGACTAAAAACATACATATCTCATATTTTAAACTAGAATTGGCCAGAGAAGAAAGTTATTTTCTACGCCTATTATCTTGATTAGGCTTTTGATTAATTTAAAATCTTTGTTCCCGACCGTTCGTACATTATATTTCCAAAACAAAGTTGTCCTTATAAAAGAACGGACATGGAAGAATTTTGTATATTAGAATTACCATCTAATAAAAACTGTTAAATGCATAACCTAAAAGCCGAATTGAAGTGGTAATTTAAAATTAGAATTGTTGACAATGCTTTCGAAAGTCCTCAAAAGCACCTTTGCATTCTAATCATACTTTAAATTCAGACATTCATTCTCGGAGAGGTCCTTCCCACTCAAAAGCATACCTCTCAAGTTATATTGTTTAAAACTTCAAAACCATTCCGTGTTCCTTTTATCTGCGCATATAAAACCCTAGTCATTTTTTTATTTATTTATTTGTAAATTTAACTTTATACGAATTGAATACCTATCACGTCGACCACGAGATTACTATTAAGACTATTGATTTAAACTAGCGGAACAACAGTTTAATTATTCTTTAACATTAAACATTCCATTTTCTAAAAGTAAATAATTTAAAAAATATTTATTCAGGAAATATAGTACATAAGATTTGTCTTATTACGTTTATGCACTACATACCAATATTATTGTGATCCATGTACGTTTTAGTAGTCAATTGACTAAGTTACTTCTTTCAATCAATTAATTATTCTTTTTAAGGTCTTGGTTGAAAAAAGTCAGTTCCACGATTCGAACCTTTGCTACATACGCCGCTACTCTAACACTTGAGCTATCGTGACTTCGATCCTCTCGGAATTATCTCAACCAAGACCTTCGAAAGAATAATTAATTCATTATTGTGATTTATGGATATGGCCGACTCCTAATGTCCTTGGTGCATATCAGATGTTTGAATAAATTTATTGCAATAAAAAAAAATTTCAAAAGTTTTCTGTACCAGCATATAATTGCGGAAAAACATTGAGAAATGAATCAATCATATATGTAAATATCACATAACACAAAGGAATTCCGAAGAAAGCAGAAATAAAATCTCGCTGTGATGAAAATTAAAAACATTTTTAATTGGCGGTTTTTTATACTAAATTTCGTATTGAGTCAGGAAAATTATGCTGCATTTATGAAACTATCTTTTTCACAGGGACCATATAAATTTTTGCACTGGTTATCGGTTTAGCCGGATAAGTAATGATTATTTGGAGATTTCGGGGTTTTTTAATAGAGGTGGAAATCATATCGACAAACAAAAAAAATTAAATATGATTATTCGGAGATCGTGAGATCGGTCTGGTGTGACGTAGGTTTTATAAAAACAATTTCTTTATCGTGCCACGTTTCGATCTTTATTGAGATCATCTTCAGGGCTCAAAGTGTTTGTTTTCCGTGTAGATGTGTCATTTAAAAAAAAAAACTTTGAGCCCTGAATATGATCTCAATGAAGATCGAAATGTTGGCACGATAAAGAGAATGTTTTTCTAAAACCTACGCCACTCCAAATAATCATTAACTAACGGTCACTAAACACCATACATTTCTCTCTCTCACACACACACACGTATATATAATAGTACTTTTATTTTTAGAATAGGGGCTTTTTCTTTCGTTATTAATTATATAATAAAAATAGAAAATTTCTTTTGTTGTTTCTTTTTTCTTGCCAAACCATTTTTATTTTAGAAAAAAAAATATGCGCTTTATAAACTAATATCTTGCGTAGTTTTGAATGATCACGTCTTCTATTTAATATAAATCGGAACAAACCACTTGGGTGGATTTATGTAAGCGATGCCGTGATATTGAAAGGAATGGAAGGAAAGAAGCCTCGAGCAAGAAAGAGATGAAGCCGAGCACTAATAATGCCCGGGAGAGGAAGAATGAACACGGATTTCCCACCCTATTCAAACGCTAAAAATCAGCAGAAAAAAATAGTTTTTCCAGCTTTTCACGTCAGGTGATGTATTTCAACGAAAATTCAAAATCCCTCTCCGGATTTTAGTATTATTAACGATATAAAATTAATCACTGATATTCAGTAGAATTGATAATGTAACTCGTCCATTATTTATTTTTGAAAAACAAATTCTGTCTGTTTGATTAATGAAGTTTTATTTGATTACTTTCAATTTTCCTCTTGCCTGAGGCAAACAAAAGGTCGGGAACTGACTGTCGTTTTGAAACCATGTTTAACATTTGGCAGGGCCAAACGTCTTCAAAGAGACTGCACGTGGTCAAGTAGTTGTGTCAATAGAACATTAAATAGAGTAGAAAACAATTCGTTATTCCTTTGTCTGTCCCCTTCGATCGAGTGGAGTAACTATCTGCTGCCTTAAACTAGATAAGGTAGATCCAGTTTTAGATGTACCAATATATAAATAGATAGTTTAATGTAAAAAATAAAAATTAAATGTAAATGTAATTTAAAATGAACGCTCTCCTCAGGTTGTTATCTATTTTCTGTAATTGAGCAAAAATACAAACTGAGCGTTTTTGTAAATATATTCAATGTGATAGGCAAATCACTTGATGAACGCAATCTTCATAACTTGCATACTGGCATTTTGACCGTAAAGCTCTAATATTTTGTCGAATAACAAATATCCAGGGCATTACGTTTGTCATAAATAATTGTAAGCAAAGGAAGAAAATAAAGACTAAATCAATTGAATGGCGCATAAGCTTAAACTGTTGTAAATAATTTCATTGAGTTAAGTCCAGAAATCGTCAACTCAGAGTAAAACAGGGAAGTAGTCATGTTTTCTAAATTTGAAAGGCGCTAAGTATTATTGTGGTTGTGTTAAGAAATGAATATTTAAAACAATTGAGCATGACTTTTTTCTAACGAAAACATTTATACGAATAGATCTTACATTAAGAATAAAGAAAAGAGCGCCCCTAAAGCGGGAACACACTTACCCGATGGAACGCTCTGCGACTCTACCCGCTGCTACCGGACGCCTTGTCCCGTTTTGGTAGGGTTGCACATCTATGCGACGTCAACATCACGCCACGTACAGTCATACAGGGTGTATCACAAATCAGTATCGCAATCGCAACTCCTCTTTTGTTCTTAATGCATTATTTCGAACAAAACCAAGTAATAAATTGTTGTTAAACTTAATTGTTTTAAATAAAGTTATTCCGGTGTTTTAATAAATTTTCTTTCTATCATAATTAAATAATTTTTGCAAAAACATGAATTTTTGATTTCGTTTAATTTAGTTTACATTAAAATAGGAATGTTTTAGCTAATATAACGACAAAATTACATATGCTTAGTTTGAAATAAACTACAAAAAATATGAGAGTCCTGTCCTGAAGCTATTCGACGAAAATGGTGTAATTTTATGAGCAAAACCATGAAATAAATCGTTAGTTAAATTTTATGTGCAAAACCGTGTAAGAAATTGTTAGTTAAATTCATTATATCAAAAACTGGTATTGCGGTGTTTTGATTAATTTTATACCAAACCATTAAAATTAATTTTAAAAAACTAATGAATTTTTGATCTCCGTTAATTTGGTTTATATTAAAATAACGACAATAATAATGTAGTGTCCGGTTCTTTTGTTTTCGACTGTATTCAATGCGACCCGACGAAAATCTGGACAGTGGGGATCGCAGAAAGTAGAGTAGTAGTAGTAGAGTAGCAGATGTGCACGGGGGTAATACAATCTTATGGAAAAATGGACTTTGGATTTGCAACGGGTAGCATCGGGTTGCGTCGCATAGTGTTGCATCGGGTAAGTGTATTCCCCGCTTAAAACTTGACTCCTTTCAGCGACGACATAATGTTTAATATTCAGGGAAATTACCGCTTTCTATCGGGGCTTAAACGACAAGTTTTGCCATGAGGATTATCACTTCAGGTAATTTTCATCAAAATGTTGGGTTTATTTGAGTCCTTTAGCAAAACCTGTTTACTTAGCGCCTTTCCTTGATTTGTAACTATTTGAAAATAAAAAAAATTATTTCTAATAGTAATGTATAATACAGAGTAACTAACTGTCCCTTGACCAGAAAATTCAATAGATAGTAATATTTTAAGATGGAAGATTCTGATGGTAAAAAAATTAATGAAACAATGCAATTATTAGAGAAAAAGAGATTTCTTGATAATTTAATTGTAAATGATGTAAATAGAGTGTAACTATTTTATAGATAATTTGAATAAAAAGATACATTTGGAGCTGTTTTAATTTTATACCCATTTCTCCAAACAGACTGCGATTTCCTAGGAAAATTTTGACAACAGATCTTGAAATATCGGTGTGAATGTAACAAGCTTTACTCCGTTAAACCATTCATTGATCATCTTGGGAATGAATAACGTATTGTATGGGAAGGCGGATCAGTTAGGGGATACATCAATCATCAGCATTTATGGGAGTCGGAGCTAAAGGTAGGCAACGTCATTTTTCTTTTTCGTATTCACTGACCAAAGATCATTTAAGCCTTTAACCGGCTTTCAATCCTTTTCCTAATAACTTATAGCCGACGTCTAATTATTACGTGACATTAACTTTTAAAGAAATCCATATGATAATAAGAAGTTTCAAAAACCATAATTAACGGTTGATAATTCTAATAAAATAGTTTATTATTATTGTACTGTTGATTATTTGTATTATATGGTTGAAAATTATCTCTAATTAGAAAATTAAATGTTTAAAAAAAATATTTACTGAATGCTGAAAAAACTGCAATAATAGACCTTGAATGGTCAAATAAATTGCGCAAAACTGAATAAGGATATTCCTCATTTTCTAGAATTTACTTTCCCTAGCATTTGTATTTAATTTTATTATAAATTGCATTAAAATTTATTAGAAATTATTATGTGTTTTACTGAAGGAAACTTTAATTGATGGATTTTGAAAAATAACAAAATAAAAGGTTTTAATTCTATAATTTTGTTTCAATACTAGACTTCGAAATAGATCTACTAACGTGCGATAACAATCGATATGAGTAAATTATCGAGTATTTACTTTCGATACCGAGTATTTTTGGTAAAGAATATTGTCATTCGATACAAGTACTTTATCGAGTTCTTTTTGAGGTGTCGGTAAAAATACTTGCATAGATTTTTTATGCAGAAAATATTGAATTGTTATTTACCGTTCGAAACTTCCCTTTCATCAAACTGGGAGTTGACTAGTTATTGTTAAGAGCTAGTAGGCACTAGCAGCATGTGTCAGCAAAGTTAATCGATATTATTCAGAAATCGTGCGATGCGGTTTGGTGTGGTGTAGGTTTCAGAAAAACATTTTCTTTGTCGTGCCAACTCGGGCACTCTCAACACGACACGCAAGGATGGCACAATTACACAGAAGACAAACACTTTGAGCCCTGAAGATGATCTCCATAAAGATCGAAGCGTTGGCTCGATAAAGAAAATGTTTTTTAGAAAACTTCATCACACCCGACCGCATCTCACGATATCTGAATAACTATCGATTAACGGTCACTAATCTCTACACATTTATACGGACAGTTCTCTTTTGAACCAAAATAGGCTGTGCCTTT